TTTTGCATGAAAATAAAACGTTTGGCTTATCGAAGAAAAGTGAAAAATTCATTTTTTCTACACCGAGTAACACTGTAACAAAGTCACACAAAGAATGATCATGCGAACAAACAAACCGAATCAGCGAGGGTTCGGGATCATAAAAATGCACCTCTGTTGATTCAGACTTAGCCTAGAACATCGAAAAAAAACAGTAATTGACGCCTAAATCTTGAGAGGTGACAATTAAGGCGCGAGTCAGGAGACTCGTGTTGCGGCGACACGTGAAAACCAGCTTTCGCGCTGCGATGCCGCTATGGCCGCACGCGCGACACCGCGGCCCCCAAAGCACGGGTTTCCTGACCTGCACTCGAGGAATTATAACTATCAGTTTACCAGTCAGGTATTCTCACAAATGCATAAAGTGAAATGTGTGGAATTAAAAGAGAGGACTGAGATAGGAAGGGGTATAACTAAGGACGAGGAATAAAGCTAACGAGCGCAGCACAAGTGTAACGTAAGGGATCAGATTTAGAGGAGTTTATCACAAAAGAGCACATCCATCATAACCGGAGACATTCAAGAAATTCTAACTAGCACATAATGAAGACCCAATTTTGAAAAAATACAATGAAAATTTGTCAACTGACTGGAAATTTCATGAAGATTTATTGCTTAAGAGAAGACGCTGATGGGGCAGTGGGTACCAAGTGGACTTCGGGGCATCAGAGTGCAGAGAAGCAGGGTCACGAAGGCAGAGACGCAGGGGAAAGCCAAGAATAGATCGAAAAGCTTGAACGCGCATAAAAAGTGCTTCTAGCCAAATGGAACACATTCTTAATAACAGTTTATGTTGTGCGGAGCGTGCGCGTCGCGTGTTTTTATGGGAGCTGGGGTGATGAAGAGCTAACATTTTGGGTTGACCTGAATGCTGAGTTGGAATGAGAGGGTTTGGGGGAGGGGGTAGGATAGGAAACAAAAGCACAATCGTTCTCCCTACTGCTCGCTCGAGTAAAACCCCATCAACAGAACATCCAACATCACCCACCTCCTCATCCTTCTTCACTACTTATTACCTACAAGTTCCCGGGGAAACGCATCGGCCGGAGTATAATATCTCAAACCCTACCCTCCCCCCTACAGATAATACAAACCCTTCTCAGTTAGCCACAATTTTTTTTCGCTGCGGACGCTCACGGGGCCGAGTTTGGCGCGGTGCCAGCTTCTTCTCCACCATATGTAATCGCCGGCTAGCTTCTACAATTGGCGGAGAACAGCCGGAGCCGCGCCCAACCGAGCCCCCCCCCCGCCCTCCAGCGTCCGCAGCGAACGAGACTGTAAAGCCCTAGCTAGATATGCCAACATTCCCAGTGACTCAAATACGACTCCTTCGTGGATCCTTTGAGAAGATGTGCGTCAGGGTGAGACAGTGTGAGACCACGCCCCTCGACTACTCGCCTGCGCCCTCTCACAATGCGCTGAGAGGGCGCAGACGAGCAGAAGAGAGGGCCTGCACTCTCCTCATCCTTGTTTAGTGCAAAATTTGAAGGATTTTTTCATTCCATTCTGGGCCAATGTGCGACGCTTCCTGAGGCGACTGGCTACGATCACGCCTTCAGAACGCGCATAGCCATAACATGCACAGAATAGGGACCCAAATGGGGTCTAGTTAGCTTATTAGACCCCATTTCGTCAGAGGGCTAACCCCAATTCCCTGCTCCCCTGTCCCAACTCGATTTGGCACCGACCGCTACGACAGCAATGAAATCACATCGTTCATGATCCGTAATCGATCATATCACATAGTAAAGCAAATAAAGCCGAATTGATGGGATGTTATAAGGGATATGCATGATTATTACTATGTACAATTATTGATCAGTAATCTCAGTTAAAACAACACCGATTGGAAGTGATAAATAGGAAAAACCAGTAATTTGCTCTAAAAAACGTTAGGTGATGTCTCGCCTTGCGTGAGCCACCGCTATTTGAAGGTACTGTAGCCATTCCTCGGCTTTTTTCTCGTCTGTTGCCTGAAAGGAGCGTTTTGGGAGACGTTCGAGAAAGTTCTCAAGGTTCTAGAAAGCTTGATTTTGCGAATGGAGGGCTAGGATCGGCAAAAAGACATGGGGAAAATGACAGGAGTAGACCAAAATGGACCCTTGAAATCGATCACAAACCTTCAAAACGACCGACGTATTATCCGAAGTGAATATTTCGAAGGCTCTCCGCAACGATTTTCGGCTCTTTCGCCCCCGACTCAACGATCTGACGGAGCGTATTGATCGTAAATCGATCGCCGGTACAATCGCGTTTGATTCACTCTGAAAGAAAAACGGCTAGGGAGGCATTGTAGAGGAAGCAAAAGTTAAGTATAAAATCACTTCCCTGCTAATGAGAGGGCGTGTGAAGGGGCGTGCACTGAAGCACAGCCTGGGCGGCCATTTCCACCAATGATGCCAACCGCAGGCAGCAGCAAATAGCGGAAATGGCTGCGCCTGGCTGCGCGCTCAGGACGAAGTTTTTCCGGATACCGAAAAGGGCCAATGCAATCATCAATAGGCTAAATTACGTATAGACAAATCAACAATAATACAAAAGAGTGACGCAAACAAACAAACCGCTTCTTCTGAGCTGCATGTAAGCGCCGCACTGGACAGCGTGAAATATTTCGTGTGCCATCGCCGTAAAAATCGCCATCGACCTTTCTTCTCTTTCAACTGACCTTCGAGAACACGCTGCGAACCACCGTCTTCGACGAATGACCTTCAGAAGAAGTAAAAACCGTTAATTGAAAGAGCACAGACAGAAAACTTGAAACTCTCCAGGTAGATGAAAAAAGTCAAGTAAGAGATGATGGAGCTATGGCTATATGACCGATAAAAATGATTCAAAAAAAGAAAAACCGGCGCACTTAAGGCTTGGTGGGGGCACCGAAAAGTACTCAACAAAGCTTGTACAGACCAGCTTGTGAAATCCTGTAAATGTGTAACCAAACAGGCTCACTTGTACATTTTACAAGAGTTTACAGGTCCCACGAAAATGAGAGCTGTTGGCTTGCATGAACCAGTAAGAGGAACTAACGAAAGTGGAAAACGCCCCTCCTAAGCCAAACAGCCGATCATACAGTACTCTCTACAAAGATAGTTTTATACGGCTTATCATAGTCACAGTAGATTATAAATGAGCACAACGCAAGGGAATACTGGCAAAAACTTATTAACCTCCCATTCATTTAATCTTTTTCTCCTTCTCCCTGACATTACCCTTGTGACGTCGTGTCCGCTGCTCGCACTTTAGAAGTCTCCTTGATGTGTCACGACATTCGTAACACGAGTCGTAACAATAGTAGGCAAACCCTCCCCTTATGTGCGTCGTCACTTTTCCGGCTGTTCTCGCGTTCCATGCATGATATTGGTAGCAGCAGTGCAGTTCATCAGAGGCAGTGGTGCGGTGAGGGAGGGGAGGGGCAGTGCCGCCATTGGTGGAAGGGCTGAGTGAGGTAAAGCCAAACGCCTTCTCGCAGCTCTTCCACCAATGACGCTGGCAATAACCTCGCCCCCACCCCTCCAGCAGTCGTGCCCATTGCCTTTGAGGAAAGTGCGGGCGAGAAACCTCAAACGGACTCGTTCAACATTACTCTTCAGCCCCGTTCCCGTGCACTTTTGAGTGGGAAAGATGGCACGCTACTGCAGCTGAGGACCCATCGGTCTTGCACATGGAAAGGAGAGTCCCTGGAGGTGGACCGTCCCTCTAATACAGAGGCGCTTTCTGGCGACAAAATTTAGGAAATGGGAGAGATAAACCTTCATTGACTCCCAGAAAAGCTCGGTAGGACTCGAAAGCAGACTTGAGAGCAGATGAGATCACCTGATGGTGTAGGCGTCATATAAACAGCCGCTTCGAAATTGCAGCCTTCTCTAGTGAGGAAGGAGACGGGACGAAAACCTGTCCACAAAGGTCCCTCCTCCTTGTAACTCATTTCCATGTCCATACTTTCAGGAGAGCGCGCGAAGTGAAGCCGATTGAGGCAAGATTTATTATCGAAGCT